CTCTCTCTCATTCATTTATAGTGGATGTATTGAGCAGTTTTTCTGCAAAGAACTTTGTCAAAGTAGTTTGGGGTCTAGACATGTCCGGGTTCCAATCCTGTTCTTCCATTACCTTGGTCTTCCTGTTCTGTTGCTGGTACACATGCCCTTAGCCATTGAATGATATTGGTGATATTGTTGCTCTGTCTGTAATAAATTAACATTCAATTCTAAAACTGCAGAGTTCAGGAAATGGCTGACCATTGCCTTTGGTGCTTAGATTTTAGCTGGCACTGACCAGATCCATGCAAGCTGGAATGGCGGCAAGTGTTTTGAAACCACCTCTGCTCTTCCTGCTGTTGCTGTGGCACTCCCCACTGTGGGCTAACACACTTTCCTCTGGGCAGTTCCAGTCTGTTTCCTCCCCAACCCCACATGAGGAAGCTCTTGTTTTGCCTGTCTGGGGCAAAATCTGGCCTTCCTTGCAGATGTCAGGATGTAGCTGTTTAACTTTTTCCATTAGACCAGTGATTCTTAAGATGAGAATCTGGAATAAATAGCATCCTAGTCCCCACTGAAGACAACTAGGAAACCTGGATAAAATACAAATGTGTATGCCGGAAAACTGCCAAGACAGGAAGGACTTACAGGGTCAAGACTCAGAGAGAAGGAAATTCACTGGCATTGCTTTATATTCTGAGCCTGTCACCCCCTCAAGGCACTTGCTAATTCTCATGCATCACGTTAGAGTGGTTGAGTAGCTAGCAGAAGCAGTCAGGAGGAGGTTTTCAGCCATTTCCCAGGGCTGGGAAGAAAAAATTGTGAGTTAAGAGTTTCTTAAGCTGCCAGGATTTGAGGTGCCAAGACCCCAGAAAGAAGGCATGTGCAGTGTAGTGAGTCCAACGATCCAACCTGCTTGTCCCCCTAAAGCATTGTCTTAGTCCTCAGGTGTGCAGCCTGAGAGAAGTTGAGCAGAAAGAGGTAACCAAGAGGTTGAGGAGATAAAGAAAGCTTTCAAGTGGTCTTATGGTGTAAAAAAAAAAGTTGAATTTCAATGGCTCTGGTAAATTCCCTGAGCTTTAAATTGGAACTCCTGTAGGAATAAGGAAAACTAGAAATAGATCAGGTGTTATAAAAACTGAAACTCAGTGTCAAAAAAACCACAACTCAATTAGGATGATCTGTTCTTATTCTAACTAGCTGTCAGAACAAATGGACTTCCAGAGTCTCTAAATTTTTCATAACAGAATGTCCAGCATTCAGTCAAAAAGTACCATTCATACCAAGAGTCCAGGCAACAGAAACAGAGCTCTGGGTAATATAGATATTGGAGTTATCAAACACAGATTAAACACAATTATGAGTAACATATTTCAATAAAATAGACAACACAATAGTGAACTTCACAGAGAAGTGGAACCCATAAAATAGAATCAAATGGAAATTCCAGGATTCAAAAGCATAGTAATGAAAACTTTAGTACTAAATAAACAATTAACCATTGCTGAAGAGAGAATTAGTGATCTGGATGTAGTTCAGTAGAAAACATCCAGACTAAAGCCAAAGAGAGTAAAGAATGGAAAATAAAAAAGAGAATAAAAAAACCACAGGACATGGTAATAACATTTAACATGCATAATTGGAGAAGAGAGGAGAGAGAAAAAAAGGCACAGAATCATTATTTGAAAAGACAGCCTAGAATTTTCCAAAACGTACAAAAGGAATCAAGCCACAAGTTCAAATATCACTATGGACACCAGGCAGGATAAATGCAATGAAAATACACCTAGGCACATTGCTGTAAAACTGTTGAAAAGGCAAAGAGAAATTCTTAACATTAGCCATAGGCAAAAAAGACACATTACTGTGAACAGAGCAACAGTAACACAGATGGGACAGCAGACTTCTCAAGAGATATGATGGGATTCAGAAGACAATAGGAAACCATCCTTGAAATACTGAAAGTAGCTGCTAATCGAGAGTTCTGTATCTAGTGAAAACATTCCTCAAAACATGAAGATAAAACAAAAGATATTTTCAGAAAAATAAAAAGCTGAGGATTTGCCCAATGGGCTCAGACTTAAATACTAAAAGGAATTGTTTTGTGACAGAAATATACTGCCAATCAGAAGCATTAAAATGCACAATAGAATGAAGAACAAAGGAAAGGGTAGATATATGGGTAAATCCAAAGGAATATTAGCTGCCTAAAACTAATTATGATATTTTGTGGCATTTAAAATATATGTAGAATTAAAATTTGTGATAAAATAATGCAAAAAGTGGTTAGTAAATGGAGTTTAATATTCTTCTTGCATTATTCAAGAAGTGATAAAAGTACTAATTTTAGACTATAATAAGTTAAGGATGCATATTGTCTCTAAATTAACCTTTATAATAATATTAAATGAATACATAACAATCTATTAATAAAGAAAAAGTGAAATAAAAAGATCCTTATTCCAAATAAAATGAGAAAAGAAATACTTTAGGTATGTGAAACAAGTAGAAACAAATAGTAAGATAGCAGATACAAACCCAGCTATATCACTAATTACATCTAATGTAAATGGATGAAATATTCGAATTAAAAGACAAAAAGACTGGATTTTTTAACAAGTCCTACTATATGTTGCCTAAAAAGATAGACATTAAATATAATGTTACAGAAAAGTTGAAAGTAACAGGACAGAAAATGACATACCATGCAAACATTTACCAAAAGAAAGTTAGTGTGGCCATTCTAATATCAGACAAAGTAGATTTAAGGCAAGAAGAAATACTACAGATAAAGAGGAACATTTCATAATGATAAAGGCTCAAGTCCACCAGAAAGATACAACAATTTAGTCTTTATGACCTAATAACAGCTTTGAAGTGTATAAAACAAAATTGACAGAACTAAAGGAATAAATCCCTCTCAGTCTTAGCGGGACTTCAAGACACCTCTCTTGGTAAGGAACAGACCACACTTGGTCAGCAAAGAGGATGTAAACCACACGGATAACTCGACTTCATTGACTTTGTGGGACACTGCACCCAACAACTGCAGAATGCACCTTCCTCCCAAGTTCCAAATGGATCATTTACCCAAATTGGCCATGTGTGAAGCAAGTCTCAATAAATTTAGAAAAACTGAAATCATATAGAGTAGATTAGCATTTCTCCGCATTTTTCCCAACCCTTAATACACAGTAGGGGACCACTCTGGGTGCAATTCCCACCTAGGTGGCAGAGCCCACAGTCACTGGTCACCTTTGGGGACACCGTTTCTTCTCCCTGGAGCGCACATCTGATCAGACGCTGCTGGGGCCGGTGGGAGGCTCACTCCCCTCCCCCTCAGGGCCTTGTCTTTGACATGCCTGGAAGCGAATTCATCCCTTGCTTTTTGCTAGCTAACATTAATATTTATGTTTTTGCTCATAAATTTAGTTCTCAACTATCTTTCAAGCCTCCTAAGAGCAGCAACTGTGTGTCCCCTACAGCACTCGGGGGGCTGCTGAACTCCTTACAATTCTCACTGACCTCAAGGCCTGAAGTTTTCCCTTAGCTGTTTTTGGTGCTGTCCCTGAGAGAGGAGACATTTTGATGTGGCCAAACTATTAACTCATTAAACTCTCCGCTTTGAAGGTCATGTAATCAGGGATCCAGGTGAGCAGGATGGAGTGAGGCGAGGACGTGGTCCAGTCAACAATGCCTTTATATTTTCTTATGACTCAGACAGATGTGCTCTGTCAGTTTCCCCTGGGGACACACGCCACAGGTCCTGCTTAGAAAGAATGATGCTGGTGACTATTTCCACATCCAGCAGGAAGGGTCTGGCCAGGGCCAGAGCACCAGGCCCATTGTGGGCCATGGGACAGTGGCAGTGAGCAGGTCACTAGTACCTCTGAGCCCCCGGATGCACTTGTGGACAGTGGAGGTGGCGCCCACTTCCCTGCGTGGCTCTCAGGACTCGCATATGTGCACAGAAACGGCTTGCAGACCACAGAGTAATCTAAAAGTGTTTTAGAGTAAAAAAAATAAAATAAAATCCACCAGTGCACAAAGAAAGGAGGAAACTAGCTGAAATACCCATGGATCGTTGAAGGGGCTGCAGAGAGTGGTTCAGTAGACACAGGACAGCGTTGGGAGCAGAAATATTTGCGTCCTGCGCTGCCAGCATTTACCCAGTGACTGTCCAGTCGTGTGTCCTCTCTGCCTCAGTTTCCTAGGTTGGACTGAAGGCCTGGAATGTTCCAGCACAAACATTCTCGGATTCTGGTCCCTTGGTCCTCTCTTAAGAAGACGCACAGCCAGCGATGACAAATAAAATGCATAGTTTGATTCAATTTGCCCTGCCTGTGGAAGTGGCCTTTGAGAAAGAACCAGCCATCGCAAGGACCGCGCAGAGCAGAAGTTCTCCACCCGGCAGAAGTTCTCTAAGGCGTGACTCACAAACTTCTCCAAACCTGCCTTTCTGGAGCAATGGGAAAATCACATTTTATCGTAACTCTTTACAGCCTGGTCACCTCAAGGGGCAAGCAGAGGCTGCGGTGTGTCCACAGAACAGGTCTGCATAAGAAAACTTGCTCAAAGATGTGTCCTGGTCACCACTGCCACCCCGCCCCCGCTCCCAGAAACCCTGCGGGTCGGCTACACTCAGAGCAAACGTCCACCTCCTGCAGCACCCTGGCTGGACTTGCGTCCCGAGCCTGGTACTCATTCCCACGCTGCGAGAGTCTGTGTGTACGTTTCACATGCATGTACGAGTGTACTGTGGGGTGCGGCAGTGGCAGGGAGACTTCTGGGTCGTCATAGACTCTGCTCCCCATGGACAGAATTCTTTATAAGCTCTGAGATTATGTTTCTTATAGACAAACAGAATCTTTTGATGCTCTTATTTCCAACCTCAATATTTTCTTTTGTTTCTTGTTTCTTTTGAAGAAACTCAAGAAGCCCACATACTCTCTAGCTTGACATTAAATAAACCAACTCCACCTGAGATTACGTGAATGAGACACGTCTCCTTTATGCGGAAGGGCTGACGACACGAGCTGTGTGCATATACGCCTTTATTCCTAAGGGTGGGGGAGGGTGGTTCCGGCAGCTCCTGCTCGGGGACCTGCCTCGGGCCCCTCCCTGGCTGCGCCGTGCTCTGCTCCGAGCGTGGCCCTCTGCTCCTCTTTACCGGAAAAAGTTTCCTGTTTGGAAAGAGGAGACGTTCTTGAGAAATTCTAGGTGTCCCACTCACCAGCTACCGTTCAGATCCCACGGCTCCCAGAGAAGCCCGAAACCCGCACCCAGCGCTGCTGGTCTGTGTGGACACGCGGGGTCTCTGCAGTGCAGGGGTCCCCACAAAGCACCCCGCCGCGCAGCCATCCGGTAGGTGGCCCTGCCTGCTCCTCGTCCCGGACACAAGCATGCATTCTGCAAACTTGGGGCTGCCTGGCACCCTTCCTTGGGGCTCTGCTGCTGGGTGCGGGGGAAGGGGCCCAGGGCCGCGGCAGGGGTGGGAGGACTGGGGGGATGGGGGCCCACAGGGCAGCCCCCACCTGCTTGCCCTGCATTCTGAGCCCCTGTAGGGCTTGTTAAACTAGGCGAATTCACAAACCCCCAGATCCACCTAAGAAAGGAGGACTGACCTACCACATGCCATAGTGGGGCTGTTTTCCAAGGGGACGTTGTGTCAAAGGAGCACAGCTCCAAGGCCCTGTGTGCCAGACTTGTTTTGAAATTCAGAGTTCCGGGCTTTCAGAGAGGCACGTGGCACATACATCACGACAGTAGGATGACCACATAGAAGCAAAACCGCCTCAAGGACTGGCTGTTGACTGTGGCACGTGCAGCTGGTGGAGGCACCAGACCCCTTCCCATGGATGCGTGTGGCCCCTCCCACGCCTGCCTCAGGGCTGCTCAGGTGTGGCCCCCTTAGGTGCAGGTGGGTGAGTCCCGAGTGCTCCTTGTGCCGGGCACTGTGCCCAGCGCTCTGCAAACCCCGTCTCACTCCCTGCCCTGCACGAGTGCGGGCCCTTCTCGAGGTCTCCCCAAGGCCACACAACTGACTCCTACGGCCCCAGTAGGGGTTTGAACCCAGGTCACACTGACCCCAAGGCTCCTCTGCTCTCAGCCCTCCATGGGGAGTCTGGCCGCCCGGTCCTTTGGTGGTGGAGGGGCTTCAATGCCCCAGGAAGAAGCCGGCAGACTGGAGGGCGGGAGCAGAGGGGAGGTGGACGGGCCAGTCCAGCCAGGCAGCCTGAGTCTGGGGTGCTGGAGTCACCCCTGTGACACTCAGGGGGGCTAAGATGCGAGAGCCTAGAGAGGCCAGGCTAAGACCCTCAGGATCTGGGGACACCTGTGCAGGGACAGAGGCCACGCCAGAGACGGGGGCCTGCAGAGTGGGGGCCATGCGGATGGTCCTGGGCAGAAGACAGAGTGGGGGCGCTGGCTGAGTCAGGCTCCCCCAGAACCCACCAGAGGACTTGGGGTGCAGTCTCCCTCCTCCCTTCAGCCCGTTGGGGGCCCATCCCTGTGATGTCCCCGCACTGCCAGGGGCTCACACCCTACAAGTCCCCACTGTCACTCAAGGAGCCCCGAGGTGCCAGGTTGATCACAGGAGCCTCATCAAGCGCAGAGGCCACGTCTCTCGAGGTTTGAGTCGTAGGAGACTTTGCTGTTCTCATTGCAGAACGGCCAGGCCCAGGGAACTGGGACTGTAACAATGCCCCGTGTGAAATCTGTGTCTACAGCAGCAGGAATCGGCCCGGATGACTGCACAGGCTGATGAAGGTGCAGCAGGTTGAACCACCAGGAACTGCTCCTTCTGCACTGCTCCTGTTGGACCCGTCCCTGCTGAGGAGGAGGAGGGGCTGCCACGTGGCCCAGGGTTTCGTGGTCCCACAAAAACCTGAGGGTGAGGGTCTGGGGGTTCCCTGCAGAGCAGCTCCTGGTCTGTGCCTGATGACAACTGTGTAGCAGGGAGGTCTCCGGTCACAGTCACGGGACTCTTTGAGTCAGCCTTTTAAACAGCAGCCACACTGTGATCACTGGGGGCTGGTGGCAACATCGTACAGGCTGGAACTGTGGGGCACCCAACCTCCCACTGCCATGTCGCTTCTGGGCAGAGCTTCCTGCCTCTATGGAGACAGACCTGAGAACCAGAACAGCGCCTGGCTCATGGTAGGTGCTTGAAAATTACGTCCGGTCCTGTGCTCAGGTCTACAAAGAGCCAACTGCGTGGGGCTCAGCAATAGCCATTGGCCATAGCTGCGCAAGACCTTACTGGCCTCAGCGCGAAATTAATGGTGGGTGTCTTCAAAGTGCTGAGTGTTAGGCTGTCCAGACAGAAGTGTGCTGTGCAGAGTGCTGGGGGCGAGGGTCTGGGCCTGGCTGGGCAGCACTGTCAGGTGACTGTGCACGTCCCTCTCAGAGAGGGCAGGAGGTGCCTGGCCATGGAAGACGGGTTTGGAGGTGTTCTGGGAATCCCCGGGGTTGGGGCAGAAGCCACGGGGTCTGGTGGGCCAACTGCGTGGCAGTGAGGAAGGAGTGGAGCACGTGGAAGGGTGTGGGAAGGGCAGGGCAGGGTCCCCGCCCCATGCGAGGGTGTGGAGGAGACTCAGCCAGGTGGGGCCTCCTGTCTGTGGTGTGGGGCCTCCCTGGGTGTGTGGTGGCCCGCAGAGCCCTGACTACTCCTGGGTTGGGAGAGCTTTCTCGGTGACATGGCTGTGATGGGGACGCCTGCAGCCCGCGGGGGCGAGCTCAGCCTGCACCTCCTGCAGCAGTTCCGAGCCGCACTGTCCCGAGTGATTACTCCTCCTCACCCCTGGGGAAATCACAGAACAAGGAGACACTTATCTATTAGTTCAACTTACCTGTAGATCTTCTCATATTTTGAAGGATTTTGTCCAGAACTGATAGTCTTTTATATTGATCAGCTCCTGAATTCTTCCCTCCTGTGAGAAAATAGTAAGTGTAATGCCCAAGCTAAGGCACGACCCCAAACTTCTTTTCCTTTCAACTTCAGAGAACCACTGCCCCTGAGACAAACAGCCTCTGGTCTCGGGGCCCAGCACGGGGGCGCTGTGCCTTCCCTGGCCGAGCAAGCATGGCTGGAGTCTTGCATCTGCAACCTTGCTCTGTGGCTTCTCTGCAGACTCTTGGGAGACCCTTGCGTGGCACTGTTTTGTCCACTGTGTACAGTGGGGGCCCCTGGTTCCCACCGTGGGCCAGATACTCCTGGTTGCTGGAGCTGCTGCCCTGGGACCTGGACACACATTTTCTCCCCCAGGCCAGGCCCTGGCCACTGCTCATTGCAGGGTGGGGGCTCACGTCTGAGCAGCCAGCCTGGGAGACTCCTGCCCTGCTCTCGGGGAAGTGGGTGCCATCGTCACCGCACCCTGCAGGGAAGGCCCCTCCTTTCTTTGCTCTTCCTACTCTCAGAGCATGTCGGGAGGACCCACCTCTCTTTAGTTTTCCCCAAGCTCTGTACAAGCTCTTGGAAAACTTAAAAATACTGTAAAGTTTAGTGTATTTATTGAACACATGAATAGTAATTATGTCACTGGTCTGGCTCCCTCAGTCTTTGACTTCTTGGAAAACAAGGACCCTCATTTGTCTATCTAGCACCTAGCAGGTGCTCAGTAGATATTATTGAGTGAATGAATCTTTTGTCAACATTAATGTTAATAGGAAATTAATGTTTGGCATAAAATTATATATGAATTTACATAAATTTACTCCTATAGGGTACTTGGATTTTAACAGATCTCAAAGTCTTAAACTGAAGTTTAGGCACAGCCAACACATCAGGAATGGTGTTATGGACCACGGGATTTTTCGGACACTTGGAAGTCATATAGGTCACATGGGAAGTTGGGCATTCTGACAACAGGAAAGAGATGTTTGCAGACCCATTATCCTTCGCTGCCTAAGGTTTTAAAAATATTAATCTAAATTATTAATGTTTTTGATTTATATTTTTAATAAGTAGTACAAGCCCATGGTACTATTTTTAAACTTTAGAAAAGACTTTCAATGAAAAATAAGGCTGTTTCCAATAGTTGACCCCTCATTAGCAGTTTCCTCCTGTGAACCACAATCATTATCTCTTTCTTATATCGCTTCGTGGGTAATCTGTCCCATGGAGGTCATTGCCAATTTCAGACTTGCACTGAATATTTAAAACCACACCTACTTAATATTTTTAAGAGGAAATTGCTTAGAAAATTATGGCAGATAATTCAGGTTAACTGATTTGTGGTAACATATTCATCAATTCTAATAATTATAAAAATTATACAATTGTGAAGATTTTTGTCTTCAGTTTGCTTATTTGTGGAGTATAATCTCTAGCCTGTGAACCCCAGGGAGCCCACATCATGGTCACACTTATGTGGTCCCCATGTATGTGTGGTTTCATGTGACCATCAACACACCTATGAGGCCTGTGGGTAATTTTTAGTCTCCACTTACAGATGAGGCCCCCATGGGGCAAAGCAGCCTGCCTGCAGCCACAGAGGTGGTGCATGGCTGAGCTGGGAAGGAGCGTGGGGGCCCTCACCTCTGGCCTTGCTCCTTCGCCCGGGGTTGAGATCCAGAGCTCCATGATTTTCAATGAAACCTCATGGATAAAAGTCTAGTATTTGAACTTTTATGTCTGGAAAGATAGAGTAGCATGGACCCAGATTTATCCTCCCAATTTAATTTAAAAACAAGAAAAGAATATATGAAACAATGATTTCCCACACATCACACAACAGGCAGCAAAGGCCAATGATCCCTGAGATATGGAAAACAATTGAGCAAAACCCCATGATTGCTCCAGGTACTTCCTAGAGAGAGTTTCTAGGTCAGCAGAGCCCAGGGGTCTCAATATGTTGGGTAGATGGTGTTGGGAGTTTGGAAAGGCCCACACAGCTAAAGTCCAAAGGAGGGAGGGAGAGAGGGAGAGGGAGAAAGAGAGAGAGAGAGAGAGAGAGAGAGAGAGAGAGAGAGATTGAGAAGGATCCAGAGATCTGCAAAGGGATGACTTGAATCTTCAGCTGAACACTGGTCAGTGAATAGCTATGAGAAAACTACCCAAGGATGGAAATAACAACTTAATGGAGAGGCAGAACAATGTCCAGAGCTCACAAAGGCAAGAAATAAATGGTATTGCCACCAGTAAATATGCATAAAAAAACCCTCATATAACAGTATGTTGGATAGTGTACTCAGAATTATTGCCTCAGTAGTGGGGAATAGTAGACTTAGCATAAATGCTGCTTATTTCCATCTAATAATACTTACAAGCAAGACTCAAAATTATCAAACTGCTTCAAAGTAACTTTGGGTAAAAGAACAGGAAGAATAATACTTTTTAAAAATACAAAAATATCCAACATACAACAAAGTAAGATTCACAATGACTGGCATTCAAACAAAAATTACCAGGCATACAAATAAGTAATAGAATATCATCTATAATGAGAAGAAAAAGAAATTTATAAAAATTGACTAAAATGATGCAATGGTAGAATTAGAAGGCAACGACATTAAAAATTTTTATAAGACTATATACTACATGTTCAAGAAGCACACATTGTCAGGTTAGATAAAAAACCAAGGCCCATGTGTATGCTGCCTATAAGAAACCCACTTTAAATATAAAGACACAAGTAGGTTAAAAGTAAAATGTTGGAAAAAGATGCTAACAGTAATCAATAGAAAGCTAAAGTGGCTACTTAAATTTCAGACAAAGTATATTTAGGAGCAAAGAATATTACTAGGAATAAAAATAGTCATTTCTTAATGATACAGATATAATTTATGAAGAAAACATAACAACTCTTTATGTCTATGCACATAATATTTTGCTTCAAAGTGCATAAAGCAAACATTGCTAAAACTAAAAGGAGCAAAGGAAAAGTTCACAATTACATTTGAGATTTCAACACTGCTATCTCAATCATAACTTGAATTAGAAATTGAACAAGATATAGAAGACTTGAACAAAGCTAGAAACCTGCTTGATTTAATTGACATTTATAGAACAGTCCACCCACCAACAGTATGATTCACATACTGTTCAAGTGCACATGGAATATATGTTAAAATATTAGGTAGATAGCAAGGGATTCTGGGTCTCCTAGAGAGAAAGTGAGTACTATTGCAGTTTACCCCCTCCCCAAATGGGCTTTCAGAGAGGCTTATTGGAGATCCATATACTCAGTAAGGCTCAGGTCATATAACTTACAACTGTCCATCAAGTGGTTCCATGGTGATGTCTGAGCCATAGGGAGGTCCCTATCTGGATGCTATAAAACAAGACCCAGACCATGACCAAGCTTGTTCTCTTTTGTTACAACAATGGGCCTGGTCATCATCTGTGGAGTATGTATCTTACTCTGTAAACCTATATCTTGCTCTTGCTCTATAATCTTATCTTTCTTTCCTCAATAAACCTCATTTTCATGCTTGCCTTACTTTGCTGTGTCTGGTAAATCTTCAGCCATAAGTGCACCAAGAATCAACATTTCAGACTCTGACTCAACAAAAGTATACTATATTCTGAGCCATATTTAAAGTTTTAAAATGCATTTAAGAAGATCTAGGAAAAAATGATGGACTAATGGTGGCCTTCTGGCTCTCTGCTCCCAGAAAAGGAGGTGAAGAACTCAGACAGCTACACATGAGTGATCACTCCTCCAAGAATATCATTGTGAATCTGCAGAGAAACAGTGTGGGACACACAGTGCAAGAAAAAAAAGGTGAAAGGGAGATATGTTTGCAAAGACTGGAAAGTGCAAGAAATACAACAGGAAATAGACTGTGGAAGGGCCGTGTCCACCTGAGCAGCTAGCGCAGTGCGATCTGACCCATAGGAGGACACCCGGCTGCCCCACAGACCTCCACACCCACTCAGCATGGGACAACACTGAAGGCAGTACAAAGTTGTAGCACAGGATGGTAGGCTCTGTGGAGGACACAATAGCAGAAAATATTTTTAACTCTCTGCTGCTCTGTGCTGGGACTGCACTTGGCAGGGATGGACTGGTCTGAGTGGTTACTTCCCATGACCATCACTGCACAAGGGAATTTGGAAACAGGCACCTCACCTCTGGTGCTCAGTAGGACCAGAGCATAAGAAGTGAACACCAAAAAGGGACCTCTGCCCCTGGAAACCACTTGTGATTCAGCCAACTCAGGGTGGGACAGAAAGAGCAGGACCCTCTGCTAGGCAGACATGAGATTGCAGGACTCTGATGCAGAGGTGACAGCTGGTGGCCTGTTGACTCAGGCTGCTGGGTTGGCTTCTGCCAACTCCTGAGTGGTTGCCTCCAATGCTAGCTCTCCATGGATGGGTGGCTGCCATCTTTGGAGTCTGCAGGCTGGAGACACTATACATGGCGACACTAGCACATGGTAGTTTCAGGCAATATCCCTCCCCCAGCCTGTTGGCTTTAATGCCAGGTGCAGCAGGCTCTACCCTTGGAGATGGAGAGAAGAAAGAAAAGCCACTTTCTCTGTTTGACTGGCACGAATCTGTGGGACTTTGGTGCTGTAAAATAGTTGGCAGCTTGTTGATTCTGCTCATCAGATGGCCTAGGTCATCTAATAAGAACATAACTCCAGGGCTTGCTCTCTGGGTCTAGGCAGCCACCAGCATTGGGGTTTGTGGACAGGGAAGGGAAAATCTGGTCAGAGACCTCAGCAATTGCAACAATTGACACCTCCCATCAGGGGCATTCCTCCAAGTGTGGTGAAAGAGTCCTGAACAACATATTAGCAGCTCTCCCTAGTGGCAGATCAAACAACCACAGAAGCGCACACACCCAGGCTTGCAAACACCAGCTGCCATCCATCTTGCCCCAAACCCCACTTTAAGGGGGAAAAGGATCCAAACAACCCTTGGGAGTGGCAAGGCCCCTCCCAAAGATTGGGTCATTTGTCATTCGTGTACCCATCTGGGGGA